CCAAGGAAACATTTCTCATTTTCATTTAGTTTAACTTGATGTACTAAAATAACTAAAACTGAAATAAAATTAATAATATATAGACATATACAAAACATTTAATAAAAAATGACAAAAACACATTGCTTAAACTTTAAATGGAAAACATAAAAATAAAAATTAATTCAAAATATGAATAAATATGATGATACTAAAATAATACATCCTGAGCTGCGAAAATATAAGTCCATTTTGCACTGGATGAATGGATAAAACATTTAGTCTAATATAATGAAATATTTATGATTTATATTTTGGTTAGAATGCACATCTCCATCAATAGAGCCAGATGGTGTAGAGTTTTCAAGCAGGTGTTAACAGGGCTGTGCTTAACCAACCAAACCTTGACCTTTTAGTGACGTCACCTGAAAAGGAAATTGATTTCAGAGGTGGAGCAGGTTATTACACTTTGATGAAAGAGATGACGACAATTGTTTTCCCCCTTTGGAACAATGTGCACTGATGAATCATTCACAGTAAAACCAGAAGCATGCATTAGGACTGTAAATAGGGTCATTTTGATTTCACGTTGGCTTTAACAAAACTCATGAACGGTCCGAGCACTGAGCCCGTTTGCAAAGACATTTTTATCCAATTATTCAGGCCTTGAAAGATGACGAGTGTCCGCTGATGTTGTGCGGTCGGGTCAGTGGATGTATGTGCCAGTATAAATCAATACTTCATCTCCACAGACTGACAGACGCTCCAGTCATGGCCTTATTTAGTGATGCAAACCCTCTCGAATTCTTCAACATCTTTCTTAATCTTGGACCTTTGGGAGCAGATATCTGGGAGAATGTGCTGGCAAAAAGACCGCCACATCTCCAAAGATACATAGCATTCTTTAGGCAAACTTTTCTAAATCTGACGTCAGAGTATATGCTTGTCAAATTCGAAATTACACAAACAAACAAAATTGGTTCTTCAGGGGTTCTTTGGGGTGGTTGAGGTGCTATATATCAAGAAACCCCTGTATTAGTTCTTTAAAGGTTTTCTAACTCTCTCTTATTCTCTTAGTTTATTTGGGAAAGGATTAAAAAATGACATTAAAATACAGTGTATTTCCTGAAGATACCGTGGTTCTCAACCTTTTTGCACCCAAGGCCCCCCTATAAGGATATATTCCAGGGCCCCCACACCTCAGAAAAGCATAAAATTGATTCAGAAGAGCTTTTGCCATTGTAGTAAATTCCCATTCATAGCAAACATATGAGAGTGGAGTAACATATCTAAAATCTGAGGCGGAGAATGGGCTTCCTCTTATGTATATCGCTGTATAACACCTTTAAAGATATAGCACTTAAAGTGGTTCTCCTAAGATTACGAGCTAATGAACCACTTTTAGTGCTATTTAGCACAATTTTTTTTTAGAGTGTAGGAGCTTTGTTAACATTTTTTTAAGGAGAAGTTTTATTTGTAACTGCAGAAGTGATGCATTTCGAACAGACTGTTGCAAGACACTTAAAAAGTCACATGGCTTCATGGGTGATGGAGAATTGAAACAGATGAACAAAACTAAAGCAATACACTTTAAAAGATGACAAAGTGAAATGTCTTAAAGGGGTCATATGATGCTGCTAAAAATAACATTATTTTGTGTACTTGGTGTAATGAAATGTTTATGCGGTTTAAAGTTAAAAAAACACATTATTTTCCACATACTGTACATTATTCTTTCTTCTTAACTTTTATAAAGAATATCTCTTTGGATTTGAGACTTTAGTCTTTGCAACTTTACAGATCTTCTTTATGCACCAAGAGCTTGTAACACTCCAAAGAGAAAGGAAAAAATGAAATTGCATCATATGACCCTTTTAAACCCCCTTAACCATGATGAAAGTCACTCTTATAAAAGTCACATGTATTTTGCAGCAACACAAATACAAGGCACCGTTATTCAGTACATAATTAAATATATTATTAATAATATGAAATAATTATTTCATCAATTAGTATGGTTTGTTAGCTTAACTCTTGTCTATTTACAGTTCCCAGGCAACTTGCATTTACATTTATTCAGACCTTTAAAATATACATTTGAAAATATAATTTGTATATTGTTTTTCTTTATGAAGATTATTTGATTGGTTGGTTTTATTGTAACTATTTTACTATTTACTATTACTATAATTTTTTTTTTTTAATCTTGTTATTTTATTTTATTCGATCTTATTGGCATCCGTCTTATTGAGTATCGTTGATATACTATTATAGTTTTTATTAATATTTTGATTTATATATATGGGTGTAAATATAAAGTTTAGTTAAAGTAATTTTGTTTATTTTGTTTGTTTGTTAGTCATTTTGGGGTTTTGTCATTTTTAATAGTTTTTGTATATCTATATAGTTTTTAAATTTTTATTTCTGTTTTAGGTGTTTTAAGTTTTTTATATTTTATTTCAAGTAACAAAAAGTAAGTAGTTAAGTTTTAGTTAACTATAATAATCCTGTTTTGCTTTAAATTTAATTGTATTTTTAATTAAAGCAAGCAACTTCACAGGTCACAGGTGTGCACATATCAGCCATTTTGTTAATTTCTTTAGAAGTTTGTATCAGATTGTTAATCTGTTGTTTAAATCTTTCTCTTTTATTTCTGCACTTTTACTCATGATCAGACCAGACGAGCATTTAAGTGAGCATTTTTCCACTTGATCAGGTCTCATTTGTCTCGTAACGCAGCTATCAGCTTTGTTTCTCCACTGCATCCAGAACTGCTAGTCTCCTCCTGATCTTACCGGAGAACATCATCTTTGTTCCACCCGCTTTGTGTTTGACCGCAAGCGAGATGAATGCAATCTGAATGAGAGCGAGAGAGAGAGAGAGAGAATCTGTCTTAAATTATTGATAGATGGAGAGTCTGTGCTTCAGGCTCCACCAGATGCTGAATAACCGGCCCACTACAGCCCTTCTCCTCATCTCCCATTGGCTGAGCCGTAACCTTGGTTACGGTCAATATACTATAGCTGTACATCTATGACTTGATTATTGATGAGAATAGTCTCATCAGTCATATTTCCAGATATATTCTTAGATATATAGGATTTAAGGACTTCTTTTTCCG